CTGCCCTTCCAAGGAGTGCCTAACCCAGATTCACATAGACACCCAAGTATATGGTTGCAGAAATATTAGGATTAGCCTATTATACTACTTCTGTATAATATTTGCAAATGGCAAATAAAATGGAAGATTTATTAGAGTTAACCTAGCACCTTCGTAGCATTCTGGCCTTTTTGCCATCTATTCTGATATTAAGGCAATACAGCTGATATTCTGGGCACCTGTTACTAACTAATTTATCCATTTATTTGTACTTACTTCACTTCCTACTTTAGTTTTTCATTTAATTTAGCCCTAAGGTTGAACCAATTTTTTACATGGATCTTTTTGTTCCTTTCTCACTTCATTCTCTTCCTAGCATGATTTGGTCTCTTCTCTTTCTGCCAGGTTACCTTCCCTGTGAGGGATACTGCTTTGTTTTTACAGGGGTGTGGTCCATTATAGGCTGAAACGGCTTGTAAAATTAAGTAGTCGGTATGACGTGCATGACAAAGCCCTGTTAAGGCTGGAAATTCAGAAATCTGGAGAGTTTCTTTAAATGACATAACACACTAATTTGTATATTTGGTGAATATGTATCACCTTATTTACATAACTGACAAGGGCGAACTAGTGAGCAGAACTAAGGCCTGACAAGTTTGCAGCATTGAATAAGCTGTAGGATTGCCATGCTCCTGCCTGACTCTGTCATCTCTTTGGACTGGCATCCAGGTAACTCTGACCCTGGCTACTACTTGGCCTTGGCAGGGAACTGTGACTGGGTTGGTGCCTCTGGGGGTGGCTGGGAGATCTGTCTGCTTCCTGATGGGGATGCTCTGGCTGAGCTGATAGAACCTAGCTGGGGGCTGAGTTCTGGATGTGGCTTGCCCCATGCTCCCTTGCTTTAATCAACTTTTGCTGGTCTTTGTTGCAAAGGCTGTCTAATCGCCAGTCTAGACCCCAGTGTGTATTCCACTTTATGCCTATCTGCCTATGGCCCCATTACAGCAGCCAATGATCACCAGGGTTTTGAGATACACTAACCCCACTCCCTTCCATTAGACTCAACCCCTATATGGGTGTCTGGGAAGTAAAGTAGCATAGGAGCTGTTACAGCACCCTTACACCATGTGAGGTTTTATTTATGTGGGAGGAATCTTCCATGGACAAGTTAAGCTTTTTCAGGTTGCTTTACAATGAAACAGCCTTAACAAATCAGAGAATCTGACCCGCTATCTCTGCAGTTATATGACATTGTCATTGAAAAAGTGCTTACTAGAGGTATCTTTTCCTTTGAAACTCCTATTTTTAAACTTGATGACATGTAGAAAGTGTCCTTGCAGTAATTATCACTTGTAGTGAGTTAGGAACAGGAGATTGAGGCTGAGATCCTGCTTTATTTGGACTCTCACTTTTCATCATTAACTCTTTTGGACGTATAGTACAAAACTGACAACCTGCTGCCAAAGGACACTGGTGAAAATGTTTTTAAAAAGGAATGTCAGTAATAAAACAGATTCTGGAGAGACAATGGAGGCAGTGCCACTTTTTATTTTAACACATACATTATGGAAGTGTCCCAAATGCTCATTTCTGGTTACTGACCAGTTACGGCCAGGAGGCTAGAGGCTTGCTGTTCTCAGTTATCAAGAGGATGCTGAAGGAAGCAGAAACAGTAAGTCCCTGAGTCTCTGAGCATCATCCTCCATAATCATACATTTAAAAAATAAAAGCAAAAGAGGGATTTCAGACACTATCAATTTGGCTTACTGTGGAAATGTTCAGTCTAAACTTCCATTTGTCAACTCAAATCAAGCTTCCAGGTACACTGAAATTGGCAACCTTTTGTGGATTATTTTAAGAAAGAGTAGACAGATTATCCAAATCCTGAGATTACTTCTGTGTAACTGTTCTGCCAGTTTTTCCAAAGAGTAATTAGGCCTGAGTTCAGAAGACAGAAAAATGTGGCCTTGGTCACAACTGTGTCCTGAGTTAGCAACCAAAGAAAAATCATTGGATATAAGTAAATAGCAAGGGGATTTTAGAAGTTAGTTATGCCATGCTCTGATTAAAGTAACAGTTAAATAAGAGAAAACAGATTACTATGGGGAGAGCTGTCAGTGGCTGTGGGATGAGATAATGTTGTCTGAAAGACTTATGCTTTAGTCTGGGATGAGGAGAGTTATATAAATGTTAATGGACTAAATTCAGCAGGGGAGACGCTATTGTGTGGGGAAGGCCTGTTCTGACACCTACCTGTGGCTTAATTATATTGTCAGTTTTTTGGGTCAGTAGATACTCTTGAAACTCCCAACTGCACCTTGGGATTCCATAATTTAAAAAAAAAATACTATGAATGTAGAAGAAAAGAGATAAACTTACTCCACACTGTAATGAACTAAGGAAACAGCATTGTCCACATGCTGAAACAAAAAAATGCCTCCATGTCTAGATTCTTCTACTGATTTTCTTATGAACATGGTTTCTTTAAGATGCTATAAGACCCATTCTGGTATTGGGGCAATCCCTGTAAATTGTTTTCATAGTCAAGAAAAATTGTTCTTTGGGGAAGTGCCTGACCTGCAGCACTCAATAAGAACCGTGGACCAGAAAGGTGCATGCTCTCAAAAGATGCGTTGCACATGCACCTTTTGGGTTCTGTGGATAGCCAGATTTGTAGTCTTTTCAATAAAGACGAGTAGTGACCAGAAATGGGGGAAGCTTTGGACACTTCCAAAGAATGTGTGTTAAATATACATAAGAGATTCTAATCGCGTTGCTTAATGTGCTTCCGGAAGTTGCTCAGGTACTATGGTAATGAGGACTGTATAAGAACCTGAATAGAACTGAATTAAGACACTGACTGCAGTCACTGTCTGGCTTTGGAAAGTCCTGGTGACTGTGAAGAGTGGGATGAACAGGTGATCAAACATTACAATACCTCAATAAAATGGCTTTCCCAAAGACTTAAAAACACTCCACCCCACTGCAAGTAAAGTAAAATGTAATCAACAGTCTGAGCAATAATAAGAGATGTAATGCATACACACTTAAATACATCCTTAATTGTACCCATGTTTTAAGAGTAATCCTGCAGTCTTAATCCAACTGTACCTTAGAGGTATCTGTACCTACAGTAAACTCAAGTAAAACAAATACCACTGGTGCACAAGATCAGTGATCTAACTTGCTTAGTAACTTAGTGTAAAGATGCCATTGTAATTTGTTGGCTGCCCATCTTTCTCCTTTGTTGACTGTCCCCTGTAGTCATTGACTTACAATGTATGTTAGTTTATGGCTGGGAGACAAGAAAGGAGATCACTTTGTATTACTTTCAATAGTTTACCATTAGTTTCTCTTCTCCCCCACCCCCGAACCTCTTATCTAGATCTTACCTTCTCTTTTCTACCTTTTTCCCTTACAAATAACATACAAGTTGTGCTCATCCCACCTAAACATGAGGGACCTAATCCTGAGGTCTTTAAAATTCCCATTGAAATCCACAGGAGTTGACCTGAGTAAGGATTAAGGCCCTGATCTTCAAAAGATATTTAGATGCTTAACTCCCATTGATTCCAAAGGGAGTTGGCTCCTAAACACCTTTGAGAATCTGGGTGCAAAGGCCCAATTACACTACCCTTACTCATTTTGAGTAATATCTTACTCTCAAAGTAATCACTGAGTAAACTACCACACAAACTGAATAAGAGTGACAGAATTAGGCCCTATGTAAATAATGTGGGACATTCTGCCACTTTTACTCATGCTGAGCACAAATGAAGACCCTGATCATATAAACACGTATATGTATGATTAATTGTACACAATGAGACTACGCATGTGAGTAACGTTAAGCACATGTTTAAGCATTTGCAAACCAAAAGATTTAATCTGATTACTTTGCATGTAGCCCCACTGATGGCACTTGACTCTCAGCAAGGATCTCATGATTTGGGCCACCATGCCTGGTTAAATGTGTTAATACTTACATTTTACTCTCACCTATAATGCTGTAAGACATAATATAAAATAATGTAATCAATTTAGCTTTATTTTGCTTCCCTTCCATTTTATTTTAATCACCAAGAACACAAAACACTGATGAGAGTGTGACAAATGTACATTGTATACCTTCAACTTTGCCACCTGGGAAAAAAGAGAAATGTCAGGGATGCCGTTTAGCTTAAATTGAATCTTTTCTATGCATGCCTATTGGGTTAAAGAATTTGATAGTTTTGTATGGATCTGAATTAAAAAGCAACAAAAACACATTTGCAAAAGACATGGTGTTTCATGAAACTGAAGTGTGGGACTGTGAATTGGATAAAACTAATATAATCCAATTCCTCTGAGAAAATGTTCGGAGAAAAGTATGTGTATACCCACCATACATTTTTAGACATATTAATAAGGCCAAACTTTCTAGCCACTCAGCTACTAGAGTGTTCACTTCAGGAATGAATACAACAGCAAAGAACCCATAAGGTTTCAGACTGCTGCAGAAGTAACCCATTCAAACACTAATGGCATTTTATTTCCAGATGACTGTTAACTATGACCCCGTATAATCTTTAAACCAAAGCCGTGTGTCATTATTGGATTTGCCTAAGATACTATTTTAATATTTGGATGAAACTTATACAGCAGCTGCTACAGCTGTTTGATTTTATTATTGAACTTACTCCATTAATATGCATGTTGACTGAATAACTACCTATGAGCCTTTTAAAATATGCTTCTAATCACATCAGCATTAAATATTAAACAGGAACTCGTCTCTACCATTTCCTTGCATTCTCTCTTTCTTAGCTTATCTGTACATGTGTGTCTGGGCGAGCAGTTATTTTTTCTGATAACTTCATTTATCCTAAATAAACACTTTTTTTGCTATTGTTATTTACTTAGAATTCTCCCACCATGGAAAAGGTGATACTCAACAGATGCAGGTTTGAAAGTGTTGCTTCTAGTAAACATTTTGCCTCAAGGTTTTTTGTCCTATCTTTTCTTTCTCTCTCTCTCTCTAGGGAATTTTTGTTCTAGGATTGCCATATGCTCTTCTCCACAGTGGATACAGTGGGCTGTTTCTTATTATCCTGGCTGCAATGTTCTGCTGCTATACTGGCAAAATTCTAATCGCTTGCTTGTACGAAGAAAATGAAGATGGGCACCTCATAAGAGTGAGAGACACATATGAAGACATTGCTAATGCCTGCTGTAAAAAGCGATTTCCCAAACTAGGTGGCATAGTTGTCAATGTGACCCAGGTGATGGAACTGATCATGACATGCATTTTGTATCTGGTTGTTAGTGGGAACTTGCTATCACATAGTTTTCCATATTTACCAGTGACGGAGAAAACTTGGTCTGTAATTGCGTTTGTAACATTGCTGCCTTGTGTGTTTATCAAAACTCTCAGCATTGTTTCCAAACTCAGCCTGCTTTGCTCCTTAGTCCATTTCATTATCATCTTCATAGTGATGAGTTACTGTCTGACACAAATACATCAGTGGTCTTGGACAAGATTTAGACTCTCCATTGAGTTTGAGGATTTCCTGGTCTCAGTGGGGGTGATCATTTTCAGTTACACTTCACAAATATTTCTTCCTACTCTTGAAGGGAACATGAAAAACCCAAAGGAATTTAGCTGTATGTTGAACTGGACTCACTTTTTTGCTTGTCTCTTCAAGACAGCCTTTGCACTGACTGCATTCCTGACCTGGGGTGAAGAGACAAAGGAAGTTATTACTGACAACCTGCCAGCATCCCTGAAAACCCTGGTGAATTTGTGCTTCTTAGCCAAGGCTCTTCTGTCTTACCCATTGCCCTTTTTTGCAGTCACAGAAATACTGCATACTTGCATATCTAGCAGTAATCATTCTGATTACAGAGCCCCTCTGTTTATTGTAGTTTTAAGAGGCTTGGCCCTCTTGTTTACTCTGCTGATGGCCATGTTCATACCACATTTTGCTCTGCTGATGGGTTTAACAGGCAGTGTCACAGGTGCTGCTATGACTTTTCTTCTTCCTTCTCTTTTCCACTTAAAACTTAAATGGGGAAAGTTAGTGTTCTTGGAGAAATGTGCAGCCATTTCTCTTTTTATTGTGGGTTTCCTTTGCAGCTTAGCAGGTATAGTCTGCTCAATAAAAGGGCTGATTGAAGCAGTTGGAGGAATGTAGAAAGGCCATCTTGAAAATCTGATAATATACCCTGGAGTATTACCACTGTGAATGCAATTCCAAAATTAATATATGATACAGCAGAGACTTTCAAGTTTGTTTTAATATAAGAACTATTACTTGTTTTTAAAATGAGTAAAGAAAGAAAAACAACTTGGTTTACAATTAAAATATTTTGGCATTGAATTGAAATGGGAGTTTCATTTGCTCTCACGTTCAACATTAACAGTGCTATAACAAGAAAAACAGAAGCACTTTTAATAGACTATTCCCACTTTTAATTCACAGTTATTTGTGAGTATATCTGTTCTTAAAGGAACTATAACTAATCAGTGCAGTTTTCCTGGAAGTCAGTTTCTAAGATTCATTCTCCCGCAATGCAATTATCCTATTGGTTTGATTAGAAGATGTCTTACTATTAGAATGAAAAAGTTAATCTGCAGTTCACTTTCTGTATTAGGCAGAAAATTTCTTTGATCTTTTTATTTTATCTGACTAAATTAAAAGCTGAAATGAAGTAAATCAAGTTCAACAAACAGACACACAGTTAACATCCTGTATAACTTGCCGTCGTCTTTAATTTTAAGACATTAGCTTAATAAAGAGATCAGCATCGCAATGTATTTCACTTTAGTGAAAAGTCACCATGATAGGAAGCAATCTAGTCAGGGTACTTTAATGAATACATATCTTATTATACTAAAGCTATGCTAAGTTAGAAATTAAAGTAATTATTTGAAAGAAGAAAATTAAAATTTTCATTATGAACAGCTTCATGCAACCCTTTACTGAGTCATATGAAGGAGAATCTGATCCAACCATATGTTGGCATGCACAAAGTGGAAACCTCAATAATAACTGTTTAACTGCAATATTTTTCTTTATAATATCTTAGCAGCAATGCTACTGGCCTGCAGGAGCGACAGTGGCTTCTCAAGGCTAACCTGTTCAATGATAAACGATGCACAATTAAACTTAAGTGATCAACACTATTGATAAGACCAAGTATGTCAGTCTGTTTCTTTGTATTCTTTCTGGTAATTAATGGAATAACGTACATTTGTCAAGTTTTGGGCATTAAATATAGGACACTAATGAATTATGAAAACAAAATTGCTATATATTAACAAAACCCACAGCACAAACAATAAAGCAACTAGAGTCTTCTAGCATTTGTGTACTCTCTTAAAAACTATGGGTCAAATTCTGCTCTCATTTGCTCCACATTTACACCAATTTAATTCCATCGACTTCAGTTGAGTTATTCTGTATTGATGGAGGTGTAAATAGGAGCATATTTGTCCCTATCTACTTTTAAAAAGTATAGTCTTTTTATTTTTATGTAGAATGACAAAAAAAAAGTGCTGCTCACTGAAGTAGTTGAAAGGTTATTATTACCCCCAATGACATAGACAAAAGGATATTATCCCTTGGATGATGTCAATGAAAGGGTATCATTACTTTTTTATGTGGAGAACATTCTCAAATAAGTAAACATGCAAGAACGGTATTAGTTATATTTTATCCTTTATGTGTCTGAAGACATAAGAAAGTAGTTTGAAGTGTTGCATAAGAATTCTTGAGCTTAGTTTATTCAACAAATCTCCAAACCAAATTGCACAGGCTTTTTTTTTTTTTCTATCCCATTTTCTTTTATTGCTTTCTGTCTTGTATTCTTCCGAGATTTCTTAGAGTTGCCTCAATGAATGTACCACTGGGAAGTCTTCAAATGAATTTGAATATTTTAACTGGTTGGAAAGTAATAAGATTAAAAAAAAAATTTACAAAACAAAACTCTCAGTTTTTCTCAAAAGGTTTTGCAAACACTTTGAAATGTTTTTAGTTTTTGGACAAAATGCCCCCAAAAATGATTTTGGTTTTGTTTATTTTCTAAACTGAAAATGGAAATATTATGGTTTTCAGTGTTTTGGTTTTTCAGTCGCTGTTTGTGTCCCCTCCCTCACTCCTATGTTGCCACTGAAAATGTGTAGAAAAAAAAGAAGAGAAAAAAAACCACCCTGAAAAACCAATACACAAAAACTTTTCAATTTCAAAAAGAAAAAGTTATTTTGGTACTTACAGGGTCTATCGCCATATAGCTATTTGGGACATTTGAGGGATATGGATACCCTGTATATGTCTGTGAAATGACTAACATACCTTTGGGCACTGAATAAATAATACTAATAACTAAAATCACTGCAGCTAGAGAAAATAAATAAACAAACAGACAGACTTACTTGGTGTTCCAGTCCACTACCCTGCTAGTGTTTTATTAAAACTTGTTTTAAGAGCCAACGATCAGCATTAACTGGAACATCCATCACAGTAAGTGAGGAGAATCAAATTGCAAATAAATACAGTCTTGAAAGGAAATATCTACCAACCCTTTTCCTCCTTTACTAACTGCACTTCGCAGCATCTGTCTGGTAGCAAGATTCCAAGTTCCCCCTTCAGTGATGATATCATTAGTATCACCTAAAACAGTCTCTCCCTGTTAATTTTGAGGTGGTTGTGGCATCATCAGCGAGTTTAAGGGAAACACAGAGCCCTGAACTCTGCACTTGGCACATATATATCCTAGTTGGGGAAGATACTTAAGCACACTCAAGCCACTGGGACTACTCACATGCTTAAAGTTAGGCATTTGTTTAAGTACCTTCCAGAACTGGAGCTATAAATAGGAACAGCTTCCAAACATTTTCTTTGACTCTGTAAGTGTATTTTAATGTTTAAATTTACACATAGGGTGAAAGCCAGAACCCATTGAAGTCAATGAGAGGTTTGTCATTGACTTCAGTGGAGCCAGGATCACACCTACAATTTGTTAATGATGTTCTGTAACAAAAACTTTGCAGTCCATTTTAAATCACTTCACTTCCTAACTGGGAATTGTTTTCCCCACCACTATATTTCTTTCTCCTCTTTCAGCAATGAGACATGTGTTCCCTGCTGCTGCTAGTGATAACAGAACATCAGCGATAGATCAGGAAAGGGTATTAAAAGACAGTTGTTGAGGCCAGAACCACTTTATTATCTGTTCACCCCTGATAATGCATTTCGCTTTTCATTCTCTGAAGTGAATTCTGAATCACACATACAAAATTCATTCTACACTAATCAGTTACTCTGAAAAAGTGCAAAAAAAGTGTGTGGAGTAGGAGGAAATAAGGTATGTTGTCTGTGCTTTAAAGACTAGTCTGCTACTAAATCAAATTTCAATATTCAGTACTCCCATTCATGAACTATAAAACTTTAAAAACTGGTGACTGATTGCTGAAAATCATTTACCCTGTTCTTCTGCATTATTATTAATAACTGGATGATCTATCGCTGCTAGAAAATGTTTAATCTTCCAAATTTCAGTTGAAAAGGAAATGAAGCTCAAAAAAATATTCTGATGGTATTTCAAGATTTACAGTCCTAGGAGCTCACGTGGGAAATAAAATGTTAGGAAATTGACTGTGTTCTGTAGTAGTTTGTCATGTATTTGAAAACACACCATTTGAAAACTTTTAAGTATTGTTGTCCACTGTTTAGCTATCTGTAACTACTTGTGAGCTATCCATCTAGGGTATGTATATGGCCCACATTGCTATAGTGCCTGAGCACCTCACAGTCTTTTGACAGAATCCTAAAAATAATGTATTTATCCTCACAATACCTCTGTGAAGTAGGGATTATTATCCCCATTTTACAGATGAGGGTGAAAAACACTGAGAGATTCTACGACTTGCCAATACTCTGTGGTGGAGCAAGAAATTCAACATCCCAGGTTCCATGGGTTTCTAATGCACTAACCAATAGACTATCCTTTCTTCCGGTGGTGGGGTTCTAACATCAGAGGCAGCTCCCCTTCCTTCCTCCTTCTCCTCTGCCAATTTATGTCCTTCTGAGATTATGGTATATAATATGGTGGACTATATAGGAAGTTAGTCCACACCACTTATGCTAATGTTGCCCTTCCTACTCAATCTTTTCTTTTCTTGAAGAAATGAATACAAGAGGAGGGGGCAGGAAGGGTATTTTAAAGGGAAATAGGGAAGAGAGGGGAAGAGGAAAGGAGGAGCAGAAAGAAAGATGGAGAGGAAATGGAAGCTAGAGGAAATAAAGGAAAAAAGGAGATGGATTAGAACACAGAGACAGGGAAATGGTAGAATAAAGATGATGAATGGGAGAAAAGGAGGAACCAAGAAGTGAAAGGAAGGGGAGGACAGACAGCGGGAACAAGGAGGGAAACAGAAGGGCAGAAAGGGGAAAGGAAGGGAAGAGAAAAATGTCAAAAGAGATGAGAGAGAAGAAGAAGGTAAGGAAGAAGGGGGGCTGCCTTCAATGTTAGAATCCCACCACCCTAAGAAATTTGTCACAGGTACCTGCTAGTAGTAATTCAAGCTTTGCTGCCAGATGCAAGCTATTTCCTGTATGTGAGCAGTTCTCCATTTGTTCAGTCCCCCAAAGCACTCGCAAGCTTGGGACTTTTAAAATAAAATCCTTGCTAGCTCTTTGAGTTTATCTCTATGTTTAATGCTTTCTGTTTTCCAAAGGCTTTTGACAAACTGCTAAATAAAAATGTTCTAAAAATCTATATTTCTCTTCAGTCTATTCTATATCCCTTCCTCCGAGTGCTCTTCCCTCTCCTCTCCACTATTATAAGTTCACAAATACCCACTGGGCCCAATTCATTGTTTTCCTGATGCACCATAGACAGCACAAAAGGACCATAAAGCAGGAATAAAGCCCCTTGCAGTGAGGCCACTGGTGCAGGGAACCTCTCTGAGCTGGGTGCAGAGCCAGCACTGCACCCCCCTGAAATCCCTGGACTCAGAGAGTGTTCTGGCCAGGCCAGGTGCATGTTGGGTGTGAATGTGGTGGTCCTATTTCTCAGATGGCACAACATCTGTAAGGGCCATGGAAGCCAGGGAACAAATTAGAGCAGCCCCTAGGGTTGTCCTAACATGAACCAAGTACTGAACTAGTCCCTAGAAGCCTCAGATTCAAGG